ATTGAAAAAGAACCTACACAATACCAAAGTGACAATGTTCCACCAATCCCCACACAACCCAAATGTAACATACACCAAACCAATGAAAAGCATTGCCCATCCTCCACAATTAGTTTTAAATAGCATATTCTCATGGCAAAACAAAATAGAAAAGACATATGCATGGAAGGAGAAAAGAGGAACGTACCTAGACCTCGCACGGGATGCGTGGAGTGTTGATTGATGGAGCAAAAGGGGTGGGTAGTCGAGTGAAGCTCGGCGTGTTGATGTGTGTAGGAGAGTGGTGGTAATGGTGTAGGAGGAAATTAGGGGGGAAATGGGGAAGAATGTCTCGGTTATGGTTTAAAACCATGACCGAGATCTACTATGCGGCCGCATAGTACTAATCTATACGGTCGCATAGTACAAATAATATAACCCCTTTTATTCTCGGTAACCATCTATGCGGTCGCATAGACATTATGTCTATGCGGTCGCATAGACACATTTTTTTTTTAACACTGAAATGTAAAGAAAAAAAATAGTTCCATCATAAAATTTATAGTATCATCATTATTTTTTTTTTTTTAAACGTGAACCGTGCTCCCAAACACCCAACATCGTTTCAAACTCAACTACCATGTGTGTAATGCCCAGGAAATTATGGGGATAAAAGTTCGATTCAAGTAACATGCATGAACAATCGATGACCCTAAAAACAAATGCAAATACAGGAATGAAATAATTTTAAAAATAACGTGGAAAATAAGCGAATAGAAGGATACAGTGGGTTGCCTCCCACTCAGTGCTAGTTTATAATCGATAGCTCGACTATACCGTGTTGCTTCATTCTGACGGGCGAAGATGAACGGAAGACTTTTCCTTTGAAAAATCGCCGTCCCAATAGTGTTTCAGACGCTGTCCATTGACTTTGAATGTCCCCTTGCTATCGTGAGTGATTTCAACTGCCCCGTGGGGAAAAACCTGTGTAATAGTATACGGACCAGACCACCTTGATCACAGTTTTTCTAAAAACAGCTTAAGCCTAGAGTTGTACAGTAGCACTTTCTGCTCCACCATAAATTCACACCTCTGAATGCGCATGTCATGCCATTTCTTAGTGCGCTCTTTGTAGATTCTTGAATTCTCGTAGGCTTTCATTCTGAGCTCGTCCAGCTCATTAAGTTGTAGGAGACGTTTTTCACCTGTAGCCTTCAAATCTAGATTCAATTTCTTCATTGCCCAGTAAGCGTGATGTTCTATCTCAAGAGGTAAGTGGCATGTTTTTCCGAAAATCAGTCGATATGGTGACATTCCTATAGGGGTCTTGAATGCAGTTCTATAGGCCCACAAGGCGTCGTCCAATTTCTTAGACCAATCCTTTCGTGATGAACTTACTGTGACTTCAAGTATTCGCTTTAATTATCTACTGGACACTTCGACCTGTCCACTGGTCTGAGGATGATATGCAATGGCTATACGATGTTTAACGCCATATTTAGCCAACAATTGTTCGAATTGATGATTGCAGAAGTGTTTGCCTCCGTCACTGATTATAGCCCTCGGTGTTCCAAAGCGGGTAAAAATATGTTTCTTTAGAAACTCAATCACCACCTTCCCATCATTGGTAAGCAGTGCAACGGCCTCTACCCACTTTGATACGTAGTCCACAGCCACTAATATGTATTGATTAGAGAAGGATGGGGAAAATGGCCCCATGAAGTCGATCCCCCAAACGTCGAATAGTTCCACCTCGAGGACACTATTCAAAGGCATTTCATTTCTCCTGGATATATTTTCGGTACGTTGACATCGGTCACACCTTTTTACGAATTCAAAAGCATCTTTAAATAGTGTAGGCCAATAAAAACCGAATTGAAGGATCTTCGCTGCTGTTTTTGAAGCGCCAAAATGCCCTGTATATGTAGATGAATGACAATGTTCTAATATCAAAAGCACTTCTTCCTCAGGTACGCAGCAACGAACAATTTGATCTGCACCCCTCCTGTATAGGATGAGATCTTCCCAGAAATAATATTTCAACTCAGAGAAAAATTTCTTCTTCTGGTGACTGGAGTAATCAGGCGACATGATAGATCTGGCTAAGTAGTTAATGATGTCTGCATACCAGGGTGCCTCTCCCATACCAAAAATCTGTTCATCTGGGAAGACTTCATTGATTTCCAATGTTTCTGTCTATTCTGTGGCCTCGAGTCGAGATAAGTAGTCTACCACTACATTTTCACTGCCTTTCTTATCTCTGATTTTCAAGTCAAACTCTTGAAGCAACAGTATCCAACGAATGAGATGGGGTTTTGCATCCTTCTTTTCCATTAAGTACTTGATAGTAGCGTGATCTGTGTAAACAATGACCTTTGATCCCACGAGATATGACCGAAATTTGTCGAAGGCATAGACTATGGCAAGGAGCTCTTTTTCTGTAGTAGCATAATTGAGTTGAGCTTCGTTCAAGGTCTTACTTGTATAGTAAATCACGTGAAACATCTTATTTCTCCGTTGTCCTAAGACAACCCCAACAGCATAATCACTGGCGTCGCACATTAATTCAAATGTTAGATTCCAATCTGGAGTAATGATCACAGGTGCACAGATCAATTTCTCCTTCAAAGTGTTAAAAGCAAGCATACACTTATCTGTGAACTCAAAAGTGGACTCCTTCATCAACAGACAGCACAACGGTTTAATAATCTTTGAGAAATCCTTGATGAATCTTCTGTAGAAATCGGCATGCCCCAGGAAACTATGAACCCCTTTCACGGATGTAGGTGGCGGTAATTTCTCGATTACTTGAATCTTTGCTTTGTCCACCTCAATACCCTTTGCTGAGATTCTATGTCCTAGCATGATGCCTTCCTGTACCATAAAGTGGCATTTCTCCTGATTCAATACCACGTTAGTCTCCGTACACCTCTGTAGCACAAGACTTTAAATGCTCCAAACACTCATCAAATGAAGACCCGAACACTGAGAAATCGTCCATGAACCTCGATGAATTTCTCAATCATATCTGAGAAGATAGCCATCATGCAGCGCTGAAAAGTTGCAGGAGCATTGTATAAACCAAACGGCGTCCTACGGTATGCAAAGGTACCGTATGGGCAAGTGAAAGTTGTCTTCTCCTGATCGTCAGGTGCTACTGGAATCAGATTATACCCGGAGTATCCATCCAGAAAACAGTAATGTGAATGCCCAGCTAGTCTTTCCAGCATCTGATCGATGAACGGTAGTAAGAAATCTTTTCGAGTAGCGGCATTTAGTTTACGGTAATCAATGTACACTCTCCATCCAGTCACAGTTCGTGTAGGAATTAACTCGTTTTTCTCATTTTCTATCACTGTGATACCCCCTTTCTTGGGAACAACTTGTACTACACTTATCCAAACACTATCAGATATTGGATAGATGATGCCTGCGTCGAGCAACTTTAATACCTCAGCCCTAACCACTTCCTTCATGTGTGAATTCAACCTCCGCTGACCATCAATGCTTGGTTTGAGTTTTTCCTCCATGAGTATTTTGTGCATGCATAGTGACGGACTGATCCCCTTTATATCTGCAATCGACCATCCAATGGCTGTATTGTTGTCCCTTAGCACCCGAAGTAGTTTCTCTTCCTCCACCTCACTGACCGTACTTGATATAATAACCGAAAGTGTAGAAGATTCCCCCAGATAAGCATATCTGAGGTGCGGTTGCAATTGCTTGAGTTCCAATTTAGGAGGTTGTTGAATAGATGGCACTGACTGTGTAGTCCTGGTTCCCAGTTCTTTGAAGTAGCGTCTGCGCATGTATGGCGGATTAGTTTCCAAAAATCGTGCACATGTTTCAATCTCACTCGAATCATGTGAGTGGATTGAGAATGTGCAATGCATGCCTCGTAAGCATCGAAAGGATGATGTAGCCGAAATGTATCTTGAATTATTCTGTCAATTACATCAATCTGGAAACAGCTGTCTGACTCAGTCGGGAATTTCATTGCCTTGAACACATTGAACGAGATTTGCTCTTCGCCAAGCCTCAGTATAAGCTGCCCTTTCTGAACATCAACAATCGCTCTTCCAGTAGCTAGGAAAGGCCGCCCCAATATAAGTGAAACATCCTTATCTTCCTCCATATTCACGATAAGGAAATCAGTTGGAAATATGAACTTCTCCACTTTGACCAATACGTCTTCAATGATTCCTCTTGGATGTGTAAGTGATCTATCTGCTAACTGTAATGTAACCATTGTGGCCTTAGCTTCTCCCAAGCCGAGTTTCCTGAAAATAGAGAGAGACATTAAATTAATACTTGCACCTAAATTACGCAATGCTTTATCAAAATGATAATTTCCAATAGTGCAAGGTACAGTAAAACTCCCTGGATCCTTTAGTTTTGGAGGCAACTTTCTTTGGATTCTGGCACTGCACTCCTCAGTTAGCATCACTGTTTCGTGTTCTTCTATCTTTCTCTTGTTGTAGAGGATATCCTTCAGGAATTTTGCATAACTTGGCATCTGAACAAGTGTTTCGGCAAATGGAATATTGATATGAAATTTCTTGAAGACTTCAAGAAATTTACTGTATTGTTGATCCAATTTGTGCTTTTTCAATCTTTGCGGAAACGGAATAGGAGGTTCATGAGGGTTGATAGGAATGGCATCCCGTGATGTATTGGAATTCTCCTTGCCCACATTCCCTGTTGTTTGTCCAGTTTGTTCCACAATCTCGTCATCCGCGGTTGGTGTTGATTCCTTGCTAACTACCGATCTTTTGACATGTATCTCCGGTAGTTGTATTCCACTTCTGGTTGTTATAGCCTTTGCGTGTTCCTTAGGGTTGATTTCAGTGTTGCTGGGCAAATTTCCTGGTGTTCTACCCGTAATGGAGATTGCCATCTGTCCCATTTGTGTCTCCAAATTTTTGATTGCTGCACTCTGATTTTGAAAAGTTGCATCTGTCTTTCGCATAAACTGATTGTTGGCTTCCATTTGCTGGTTGGTTGTTACCACGAACTTTTCAAACATCTCTTCCAATGGTGGCTTTTTATCCTGCTGCTGATATTGACCTTGTGGTCTGTTTTTATTCTGATTGCTCCACGAGAAGTTTGGATGTTTTCTCCAGCCCTGATTGAAGGTTTTCGAATGTGGGTTGTTTTGTTGGCGTTGACCCCATTGCACAAAATCTGCATGTTCGACCCCTTGTGCGAGAATTGGACAATTAACAGTATTGTGGTTTGCTCCACACTCTTCACTACTCGGCTTCTTGACTTGTTTAGCAGTGGCGGTTTGTGAAATGCTATCAACCTTATGGAATAAAGAGTCTATCTTTGCAGATAGTGCAGAATAAGTATCTACCTCATAAACCCCTGGCGATCTCTTCTGAACCACTCGATCTGTAGACCACATGGCTGAAGTTGTTGCCATTCTCTCAAATAGCTCCCATGCTCCATCAATTGTTCTCGTGGAGATAGACCCGTCAGATGAGGAATCAACCATGCTCTTGAAGGATGGAAGTAGTCCAGTGTAGGAAAATCGAATTTGTGTCTTCTTGTCAAAACCATGTTGCGAGCACTTCCTTAACATATTCTTGAAACAATTCCATGCCTCTTCAAATGATTCATACTCACCTTGGTTGAAAATAGAGATATCATGCCGCATTTTTGCTACATTTGCTGGCGAGAAAAACTTGGTGCAGAATTTGTGGGTTAACTCGTTCCAAGTGGTGGTGCTTGCAACGGGGAGCGAATCCAGCCATTCAAATGCCTTATCCCGCAAGGTGTGTGGAAACAACCGCAATCTTATAGCATCGTCCGAGATACCCTGATACCTAAAGTGTTGGCACATATCCAAAAATCGGGATATGTGTGTATGTTGGTTTTCGCTAGCCATCCCGTGGTATTGATGCCCATTTTAAAACAGTTGAATCACATTTGTTTTCAGCTAGAAGTTCGGTTGCTCAAATGGAGGATACACAATGCTAGATTGACTTTAGACCACCAACGAAGCCATGAAGTCCCCAAGTATTGTATTCCCATTATCTTCAACTGTCATGCCTTCGTTGAGTGGAATTTTCGGTTGATTTTGCTGGTTGGCCATTTGTTATGCCGCTCTTGCTTCTCTTTGCTTATGATGGAATGTGCGTTCGATCTCTGGATCTATGAGAATCAAATCTTGATCCGGTGCTCCTTGCATACAAACCCTGCAATTTCAAAATCAAAATAGAATTAAATTAAAGTATTAATAAACTAAACCTAGTAAACGAACTACTACTAATCTAGATAAGTTCGAATTAGTGTCACAGAAGATAAAATTAGAACTAAATTTCAATCCCCGGCAACGGCGCCAAAAACTTGTTCGCGAAATTATTTGTTTCGAATCAAAACCCACCGCAAGTGTACGATTCGTTAACAAGTAGTAAAATGGACTATAAGTCCAAGTATCGATCCCACGAGGATTGAGTTAGTTCAAATTAATCTAATATGACCTTAACCGAAACATGACAAGCAAATTGCGTTCTTATAATTTAACTAACAGAATGGAATCATTGATGCAATTATTGACTAAGGGTTATACTAAGTTCAAAGTAACTTGGATGCATCACGAATCCCCAAACAATACCCGTTCAATAGTTATTTATACAAATTTGACACCCAATTCCATAAAAGATGAATCGATATTCCTATTTTAATTTAGCAATATCTTTCGAGCAATGCCAAATCTATCCCAATATATGATTCGACTATATTTCTATGACGAATACTAATATATCGATATGCATTATATTTCATGAATATCAATTAATTCACACAATGCATAGAGGTATATTTCTATCCTCTATCGGACCCTATGACGATTTATCATATGTCGAACCTATTTTCCTTCTTTCGAATGCATAAAACAGGTCATCAAATTCATATAATCACATGCACAATAATTATATGACAATAAAAACGAAATAAATCAGTCAATTCTGGGATTGGTGTTTACATACGTCAAAAATCCAAACCAATAATTAAACGTGGTATTACAAGGTTCTTCGATCTCCTAATAGTAATAAATTTAGCCTAACATGTTAAAAAGAACAAAACTTAAAAGTATTTGGAATCAATATTCGCTCCGATCTTCAATTGGCGCGGTGTTTTTCTCTTGTTTTCTCCCTTGTTTGTTCTTCAAAATCTCCCAAAAACATGTACAAACGGCGTCCCCTTCGTTCTGGTCGAGTTTTTGTATTTATAAAACCCTAAAATTTTGTTTCCATAAGAGTTTCGGAAGAAAAAGGAAACCAAAATTTTCTTCAACCTTTTGTTCTATGCGACCGCATCGAGTAATCCTATGCGGTCGCATAGAAGGAATTTTCCACCCTTATTTTGTTTCGGTATGGTACTATGCGACCGCATAGAAGATAATACTATGCGGTCGCATAGTATTATCTACTAGGGAGAAATTGTATTTTGGTCCTCCAACTTGCATCCTTCACTTCTTAGCATCTTCTTTTCATTCTTTTCATTTCATCACCCCACGGAATCGTGAATTTGGCAATTAGTTTAATTGATTTCTCGATTTGTTCATCGAGTCAACTTCTGGATATTTACACTTTTGGTCCCTATACTATCATTTTGCTCCATTTTAGTCTTTTTTCGGCTCTTTTCTTCTGAATTTCACCATGTTCATCGGTGTTCCCTACAATTTACAAATATAACGAGATTAAGTCAAAATTCAATCATTTTGCTCATTATTAAGTCATGTTTGTAAATTAAATAAGTGTGCAAAAACACACTTATCAATGTTACATGCTTGGAGTGAGCCTCCACATTACCTTGTGAATGCTAGACCTTAGTTTTATGCTATTTGTATGATTGCTGCTATTCAATGGTCTCCTACTTCATTTTATGCCCTTGTTTAATGCCTTAGGCTGCCTGTCATCATTGAGAGATTGTATCTTCTAATACCCAATAGGGACGTTGTATGTTTATATTTTATTGTTTTATGCCTTCTTGGAATGAAGTTATGATGCAAGGTGCCCACATGACAGATTAAGAAGTGCTTATGAGACATGGTTTTTTTCTGTCAATGTTCACGCTTCTCATCCCTTTTGTCCTCTTGAAGGTGTGAGATGTTGAGCATATTATTTCTACAAATTTTTAATTTTTGGTTTCTTTTATGCAGTTTAGACCTTTTGGTGTATCTCTTCTCATTGCTGGTTATGATGAGAAAGGACCAAGCTTGTAAGTATTTCTTCTGTTTAAATTGGTTTTAACCTCCTAGGCATTACTTCTATTCTCTTAAAGGATTATATTGCTTGGAATGTCCCTACTAAAAGCAAGATGGCCTTTATTCAACTCTTTCATAAAATTTTCTGAACAGAGTTAAAAAACTAAGTAGAAGACTCCAAAGATACATTTATTCGACTCTGCATTTTTCACCCATTGGATGTTGTTGGTCAAAACTGATGTTCTAAGCAAGCAGACACGTTTGGGACATATTTGATCTGTACCATTCACAATCAAGTTATGTGTTCGGTCATGACTGTTTGCTTAGTTGATTGAACTGCAGTTCAATCATGGATCTTCTATCCTCTTCTAAATATGATGTTACGGATACTTATATTTTCTTCCTTGGAAGTAATGGTGGACGCCATTCTCTCAGATAATATAATATTTACTAGCATTTTCTACCAGGATATTTTTCTTCAATATGTTTTTGCCTAGATTATTTATTCAATCATGCTATAGTGACCGAAAATGGTTGAGAGAAGGGGTGACCGAACATCACATTAGCGGGGCTCACATTTTATTTTGGACTTTTTTATCCACGCGGGACCCATATGCATGTGAGAGGATGTCAACCATTTGATCATCCATTTTCGGGCAAAGTAGTTTAATTCTTATTTATTTAGAGGATTGACACTGAAAGGGAGTTTCAATGCACAGGTACCATACCGATATTTCTGGTAGTTTCTGGCAACGCTGCCTTGCAAAAGCCACTGGATCAGGATCTGAAGGTGCTGACAGTTCTTTGCAGGAGCAGTACAACAAGGTAATTTACTTTTTAACGCAGACAAGTAAATGTAACTCTATTCTTGGTAGGAGGCACCATAGCTGTGCTACGACATTCTATGTAGTGTTCATGAATATTAATTGAAAACGCCCAATTATTTCAGAACTTTGCAGGTACCACTTGATAAATTAAACAATTTTTTATGACCTAATTAATCACCTTACTAAAAAACTATGATGAACTGACACAAACATGTATTCAACACTTGATTTTTCTAAAATGTATTGACGTGACACATTGTTGATATATTGATTAAATTCTTTAGAATTCTTCATTTATATGGTATAAATTTAGTTTTATACTTGTTATGGATTTTTCTTGTTAAAACTTTTAAATATGAGATTTCGAGTTAAAAAATATATAATACTCCTGATAAATAAAGAAAAATGATCATGGTAGTGTGTTCGAAAAATGTCAGAGTTCGACTCGTCGGACACTTAAAGGACACGGACATGGACACTCCACCATTGTCAAAGTGTCCGTGCAACTAAGCTAAAAAGTAAAAAATGATTGAAGAAACTAAAAAAGTCTAAACCAAAAGCGACCAGCCATTGTTGAATGTTCATAAGTGTTCGGAGCTATTTGCATAGGCTGTTAACGATTATGATTTTTGGCTATCCACACCTAAGCATTCACGACTTAATCCTTGTGAACTTGAATTTGAACTCCATTTCTTGGCTTGCTTGCAGGATCTTACCCTGAAAGAGGCAGAAACCATTGCACTTTCCATCCTGGATCTAGTGATGGAAGAAAATGTATGCTGCTTATGGTGAACCATGATTACAGGTTTCATGCTTTCCATATTGTACTTTCTGTCCATCTGTTTTCTGATTTCAGGTCATGCCCAACAATGTTGATATTGCCAAGGTCGCACCAACTTACCATCTGTACTTGCCTTCTGAGATTGAAGAGGTTATCGGCCGCCTATGAGGAAAGGCCATCAATTTGCTGTTCTGTTGATTTTCACTGCAATTTCATTTTCCCGATCCTCCTATGCTTAAGTGATTACGTGCTATTATGAGGGTTTATTTGCTTCAATGAGGAAACTATTATGGACTTGTTATAAATGAATCGATGTTTCTTACAACGAACTTAAGGATAAATTATTTTCTCCGTCTTGTAAAATTTTATATAGTACTTATAAAGTTTTTCTAAGGCTGTTTCTTTCTTCATCCCCCCCCCCCCCCCCCCCCCCCTCTTTTAAAAAACAAAAGAAAAATTTTTTTTTTTTTTAAAACAAATGCAAAATTTTTCCTTATTTTTAATCACATTCTTCAAAATATCACAGTTCCAAAAGACTCCTTCCCCCAAAATCTGATTCTAATAGAATCCAAACAAGGGCTCAATTT